GTGTGAGGATGATGACGGCCTAAGGAGACAATTGAACGCCGTGCTTCAGGTGCCTTCGCTACTGCATCGATGTGAGCCAGCATGTAGGGCGGGTTTGTCATGCCCAGCTTGAGCATGACCTAGCCACAACACTCTCGTCAAAGCAGCATCACTCGCGGCCCGCAAAGCCACGCAGTCAAGGTTGCCACATAGAATCGCACAGCCACATAATGCACCAAGCAGCATGCTCCGGCAATGAATCTGCCACACGGTTCAGCAACGAGGCAATGTTGCTGCCAATGTCAAGACCATAGGCACCTTCGGATTGTGAATCACGAAGCCATCGCTTCAATACAGCACCGTGGCAACGTGACTGACCAGGCCTGTGTCCTCGGAAGTGAGCCAAACCTCGCTGACTCCTTCGCTAACAGCCTGGAGCGCCCTTGAGACGATGGCCTCGCAGGTTTTGGCTTGTTGCCGCAAAAGAAACGTCATGGCAAAACCTCTCGCCTCCTCCGAGTATGAAGAGAGCGATCCTCGCGCGTGCTTCGTCTTGCAGTAGGAGCCTCATAACACAGGCCGAGCAGCCAGTGCTGCCGTACTGCATTCAAAAACAGAAGCGCCAACCCCAAAATCTGTCGCCATCCACTTCCCGAGATTTGAACCCTACATAGCCCTGATTTTCTGCCACACAGCAATTCCGATAACCCTGTGTTTTTCTTTGTGCATATCTGGAAGCTGCTAAGCTATATGGACAGGCAGAGAGGGGGAGGAAGAGAGAGAGAGAGAGAGATGGAGAGAGAGAGAGAGAGAGAGAGAGAGAGAGAGATGGAGAGGGAGAGGGCCTTCAAAGCCAAAGCGCAGTTTCCCAAGCAGCCTCCGCTGATGGGAATAATCTCAACGAAGCTATTGCGCCGCACCTTCGGCAGGTCCAGCGAAGGCATGGAGCTCCGGTGGTTGAGAAGGCTGACGGTGTTGCCCTGCAGGGCATGTTCCACCACTTCGACCACACGATCCAGCTGCGTCACGCCAATCATGCTGACCTGAGATCCACGCGCACTCTCTGTCTGCTGCAACCACGACACGATTGCCAAGGACTCAGGAATGTTCGGCACATGAACTGCCGTGCTGAGACACGCCCACAAGAGACTTAGCAAGGCTGGCATCTGCCGTGGGCACACAGCCAGCTAATACAACCGCTTTGCCAGCATCTTGAGCACTTCTCACCAAATTCACAGCATTGTCCTAGCAGGGCCAGTTCAAATCATCGCGACAGTTCTTGGGCAGCAAGGCTCGGCCCTGCGCGGCGCTGCTAGCTTGCATGTAAACACCGCATCCTGGCTCGGGCCCTTGACAGTGCACGAATTGACCACCAGCGCATCGGCATCTTGCACCGTCTCTGTTAAGGTGTAGCCGTAGTCTTGCAGAAGGCCCATCATGAACTCGCCTCGCTACTGTGACTGTGCGCAAACCATGGGTGCGGAGATGCTTCATGCTTTTAACTCTTAACAATCGTGACCATCGTGCAAGGTGCTGTCGGAGTTGTTGTGGGCGCAGCCGTAGGTCTTCCTCAGTAGTTGGGAGAGCCAGGGGTGTCGAGAGATCACCCTGCCCGCTCGGATCTGACTACCCGACGACACTGCCCGCAGCGGTCGCTCCGAAATCCACCGATCTTCTGAACTGCTGCTTCTGTCTCTTTTGCTCTCTGCAGCCAGGGTTCAGGAAGATCCGCTGCTTTCCAGGCAGTCGCTTTCGCGTTGTCTCGTCTTCAGCGGACACTTCCGCTTTCTGCGGCAAGCGCCTCCGCACCCAGGCGAAACCGTGAACGCCCCGACTCTGACTGTCACGTCCCGCCTCCTCCTCCTGACTTGACCGGCACCCCACTCCACGGGCCGACGAGATCCTGGCAGCTACTCCGCAAAGACCACGCGAGGCCAGGACGAAAAGATGGAGGCTGAAGTCACAAGTCCTTCCGCACCAAGATCCTCAAGTTCAGGTTCCGGAGCAGAGCCTGAGAGCTGGAGCCTTACCGCCTTGCCACCTCTGAGCATTTCTTAGCATTAACGCACAGAGCAGAAGATCTTGGAGTCGAGCCAGGTTCGCTAACCCCAACTGCTGCTTGACAGCCGAAGAAGAGACTGGCCAGCTGCCAGAATTGCCTCAAATCACGGAAGATCGAAACCTTCATTTGCCTTCCCTTGAAGCAACCGAGGGCAAGAAGGCGCAGCGACCTAGGTGGGGGGGACCTTGCCTATCGGCGACCCTGACCCGTCCAGCACTTTCATCCAGGCTTCGTCAGCAATTGATCCCGAAGACGCCGGTGACTGAGGCAAAGCCCGGCTGAGGCAGTCCTGGGAAGCACGGTCTCAACATGTCTCAACTGCCTACAGGGCTTGGGAATTCTGCACGTGGAATGTGAGGCGCTCCAGATTTCATGCATCTGTGTCGCAACCCGAACTCTCACTATGGCAAGCCGCAGCAGCAGAAGTATCACAGTGTCTCGGCGGCTGACAATCCGTCCAGAATGCCACAAGTCAAAAGCCATGGCGAATGTGCCAGGTCTCCACCGCTGTTTTCTGTCTGCAGGCTTTGCTAGCTGGGTGAGTGTGAGTTTACGTGTGGGTGTGTGTGTGTGTGTGCGCTGACTGTTGTGGGCTTCGATAACATCTGTGCCGCCTTGCATGGCATCATGACATCTCTAGGACTCTAGGCCGTGCGGTCCGCCAATCCTTTCTGCAATGTGTTTGGCCTTCGGTGCTGCTGGCCGCATGGCTACGTTTGCTCTGTACAACTCGTGCCGTCAGCAGCACACCATCAAGAACAATAGATGATCCCGATGTCACATCCCGATGTCAGCATGTAGGGCGCTCATTGTGCCTCGCAAATGTCGCAGCGTGCGTTCTCTCTCCTGCAGAGCACTGCAAAAGATCTGTTCATGGTCCGCAGCAGCAGCAGCAGCAGCAGCAGCAGCAGGGGCCTGTCCCGTGCATCAATGATCCCTTCTTTGTCTGAAAACACGCTCGAGCGAGTTTCTGGCCTCTCCGATGCCGCAGCTTCTTTGGCGATTTGTTCCTTGTTGGCAGCCACAGCATTGCTGAAGGAGGACATCCAGCAGCCGCTCTGTCTGCACAGGGCTCCTCAGCCTGGATCTGCGCCGGATCCTTCAAAGGGTGTGGAACGGCCTTGGCCCAGGCATGCCCAGGCCATGCATGAGGGATCTTGACTCGAATGGCAGTTGATTCGGTAACTGTGGCTCCGGCGCTCGCTGCATTCGCCGCGTCGGCAGGCTCGGCACACTCGACAGTTCCAGCAGGAGGAACCTCCGCCATTGAGACTGACCCGACTTGCAAGCATAGTTGCTGCACAGATACGTTCCCCCTCGATGCCCAGTATTGTAAGAGCACGGCTGTACTTTGAGCGAAGCGAGCAGGTGCAACAGCTACAGCCTCCCAGTGTCAAAGTGCTTGAGATATTCAGCTACTGCCACCATCCCGGCGCATCCAGCCTGCGGCTGGATCGGGTACTGCACCAGCACACTTGGTCTGGTACCGAGCTGCGGGGCGGCATGTAGAACTTGATGCTGGGCTGGATGCACTAGCCGCACCACCGAGTGCTGGCTCCAGGCAGAAGCAACATGCACAGGCTGCTGGGAGCTCGGCGGGCACGCTGCCATCACTTGGCAGGGCGGTGAGCTCTCGCGACCCCGACGCACCACAGGAACCACCAAGCCACCACGGGGACACTGCTGAGGAGTTGCCACCGGAGCTGCAAACGCAGTCCTCCGTAACAGCAGAGGCCCTGTACTTTCACGGGGCAGCATCTGCGAGGCAGAAGTTGCCATCGGTGGGTATTGACTGCAAGGAGACAGGGGTGATCCTGGTGGCAACACGGGCCCCGATGCACTTTCCATCAGTTTGCTACCCAAGATACCTTTAGCAGAGCAGGACAGCGTCTTCCGAAGCGGAACCTGCACAGCCGTCTCGTCCGGGCGCTCCCCACCAACATCTGAAGACTTCTCGCTTGCTGCTACAGAATCATCTCCCGCTGCTGTGGAGCCATCCATCTTGCTATCTCCTGCCGGGGTTGACGTTCGCATGTCTGTCTGCCTGTCGGCACCTGTGAAAGCCAAGATGTTCAAGACCTTCTTCTCAGCATTCTCAGCCAAGGAAGGCTCATTCAAGGCAAGGAAAGGCTTGGCACGAGACCTGACATGGGCACGACTGTACCAGTGCTCACTCGTAGAGGTGCAGAAGCTATTGCCGGCTCCTACACAGTTCAGGAAGTGCACAGCCGCATAACATCACCGGAATAAGCACGTTCCTACGGATAAGCACGAACGACACCTGCGCGGCGAAGCGTGTGAAGTTGAGGCCGGGCTTGGGGAACCGGCTCTTCCTGCAGTCATCGTCCACTCCATCAAGCTCGGAACGCCATTGCAGTGCGTGCCTGGAGCACTGGTGCTGCGCCGCAAGCTGCGAGGCGCGAACATGGCTCCAGGCCCGTGGTAAATTCAGGTTGTGAAAGAGAAACTGTCTGCATAAAGCTGGGCTATGTCAGTTCTGGGCCTGCGGGAAGAGGGACTGCCACTCTGCTGTCAAGCAAGCACCGTGAGGCCAGGTGAGGCTAGATGTGGGCTCTACAGGAGTCACAGCGTTGCTAAGAACTAGGCACTGACGTTTACGAACAAGTCATATCACTGTTCGTGGTTGGAAAGCTTGGAGATTGCGACACAACTTCGTGCGCAGCGGCCGTGCTAATCAGGTCTGACCATCCACCAAAAGCAGTCACAAGACCTGCAACTTTCGCAGGATGGAGCTCTAAAACACTTCCACAACAATCACAATTTATTAATTTACAAACATCACGCAATGCGACAGAAATTGATCGCAGGCACACAGTGCCGACAGCAAACAAAGCGCATTCACACAGTGAAGGACAGCGCAAACCAAGAGCCAGCAGCACCGAGATGTGCAACATTATTGCCCAACATGTTCTCCCTGCCAAGTCTCTGAGAAGCTCGCTGCTCAAACTGGTGACAAGGACATCGGCCTCAAAGAAGAGCAGAAGATATGGCAGAAGATGGCTCAGGTCATGAGATGTTACGGGCAAATGTCGGACTGGCAACCTCAGCAACCTGAGCAGGCAACACGTGCCATGCAGAGCAGCGCCTGCCGCGGGTTGTTGTTCCTGAGGCTGTTCCCCAACCCTCTTGCCACCAGCCTCTCTATGTCTGCAAATCTGCTGCCTGAGGCCCTAGCACAACCACGTGAACCTGCTCACTCCATCTGCTCATGTGTTGTCCACGTGGTCAGTCACGGTCTCTCTGTCGGTGCTTAGCGGCACCTCTGGCAGAACCAGCGCGCTGCAGGCCGGATCAACCTTCCAATTGCAAGCACAACTCCTAAAATAAACCTGAGATGTTCTTAGTCTTAGCGAGGGGGCCTACTTTCTGTGTCCCGATTCGGTGTGACTGAAATCTTCTGATATGCTGGTTAGCAGTCGCACAAGATGACACGCCCTCCAAAAAAGAACTAGCCGATCAGCGGAAGCGCATGGGTAAGCCGGGTAAGCACAGGCACCTCGAACTGAGCCACGGTGTGGAAGACTTGCCTCCGCTCGAGCTCAATGGCATGCTCAAGTCGCGAGCGGTCAGAAAATCTTCATTTTGTGAGAATGCCAGCAATGAACCATAGCGGAAAGTTAATGGAACATTCGTTAATCGCATCACTAGGCTACCGCATTCGCTCCGCATATCTTTTTCCTTTCACTGTGGACCGCCTCGATTCCTGTAGAACCTTGTATCGACCCAGAGGACGTGCTTTGGTAACACATCCGGATTGGCATCCTGCCGGCAACCCCGGGTCTCCACCCTGGGTTCCGGTACTGCCTAGAAACCACTACGGTTCCGATTCGGCACTTCTACAGAAATTGGAAAACAAGCATGGCCGGCACCAACGGAAGCTGTACTCCAGGGGTCATCCACCCCCAATCGGCTGATTCCACTCCCAATAGATCCAGGATCCAGGTCTCGAGAGAAAACGAGGCCGGGAGAATCAATAGAATCAGACCTGCCCCGAATCAGGGCCATCAAAGCTGCGACGGTGGGCATGGATGGCTAAGCACTCGACCCGGCGGCCAGCTTCATGGAGCTTGCGGAGTCTCGCCCTCCAGATAGGACGGCGTAGCCAATGTAGTCCTGAAGGTATGGTGCCCATACCCGTCGGACAGATAGGCTCATATGCCATAGCAAGCGGGCACCTCCGCGCAGGTACAACTCCTGAGGCTAAGCAAAAGAATCTGCCTTTTTGGCTCAACTGCCAAAGCTTGAGCCAAAAGGCAGGATGGAGGATAACAAATGATACATGTGCACCCAAGCCTGCCAAACTCGACACATGACATAACTACAGTTACAGAAATGATATCATTCCGCACAGCCAACACTGCTAGAGTGTAATATCGATGTGGCACATGCGTGTGGTCTCGTGTGGTGTTACTGGTGCTATTGCTGCTACTGCTGCGCTGCGGTTCTGCCCTGCTCCTGCCCATACTGCTGCTCATACTGCTTCTGCTACTGCTTCTGCTACTGCTTCTGCTACTGCTTCCGCTTCTGCCACTACTACTTCTGCTGACGACGACGACGACTACTACTACTACTACTACGAACAACTACTAGTAGTGACACGAAGAGCATAAGCCACAGCACCAAAATGCGTAGTGAAAGACTTGACAATTCGGATTCCGAGAATGCCGGCAACTCGTCAGCAGCTGATGGCGCGAAGACAAAGCCCGGCAGACCCACCTTAAGACACTTCCGGCCACTTCCAGCATTTGATACTGTCTACCTCTACATACTATATGTGAGCACATGCTAACCTCACCTCACTCAACAGACCTCGCGACGCAGCGTGGCGGACCACTCATCGTGCAATATGCGGCCCTGGTGCGATGGACTTGCTTTTGAAGGAATCAACAGCTGGTCTTCACAAACACCTCGTTTGCAAACCTGTTCCATTTCACAAGAACCTGTTGTGCTAGACTTACATTTGTTCATACGCACTGTCCACATGTGGCCAGGTCTCAGTGTCTTCCCTTCCGTGGAAAGAAAAGTCAGATCTGAAATGTCCTTCCTTCACTCCAGCACTACTGCAGGTGAGGCATGCAAAGACGATCATGGGGAATGACACGATGGTAGGGGCCTAAGTACTGAACTCCCTTAACTTGAGCAACTCTTTCCACTGCGGAAAGATTGTCGGCGCTCTCAAAATCGGAGAGTGGAAAACAATGTAGGTTTCTAAAGACCCTAACCGCCAAAAAACAATGGTTACAGTCACCCAGGCGCTTGAAGATTGTGTTGCACGGGCTGACACTGCTACATAGTCTTTAGCTTAACATAAACTGCTCCTGTATTCTATGGCTCGACCTGGGTTGCATGAAGTCTAAGAGTAGATTTTCGTGTTCCGTCCGTCACATGGAACTTCTGACGTGGCCGAATGTGTTACGTTGTGTAGAGCAAGACTCTCCTCCACACTCCTGGGGAGACAATGGATCATGGATCCGCTGCAGCAGGGTTCAATGAGACCCAATGTGATCGATGCCCGCGTCGTTTTGAGCAGGGCTACGGTAGGTTTCTGTTTGGACTTACGCAGGCAGCATGACAGCGCTGTATGATACATGGTGCTGTCATATGTCATATGTTGTAATTTTCGAGATCTTCTTGGCAAACAATGTTTTCTCATCGAATCGAGCCCCAGGCTTTCACCAGCGCTTCGCGGCTTTGCCCAACTGCCTCCGTGAAGACCTCATGCACAGCGGTAGTCAGCGAGATGCCGTCAACCGAGATCTCCCAGGGCATGAACATGGAGGGCGAGTCGAACGTCCAACGGCTCCTCGGGAGCCACCCAATTGTCATTGCATTCGCGGGGGTCTGAGGTCTGGCCTTTCGTCAATCTGGGGCAGCGGCTGCCACTGCCCTAGCGAGCCCGCACAGCCACCTTCATCTGCGGAAGTTTCAGACAGAGGCTGAAGCACTGGCAGCTCCAGTCTCCGCCTTGAGAAAGCTCTGGGTTCCAATTGCTGCCTGTCTGGACTCTCGATCGAAACATTTCAATGCGGGTCTATGCAGCATCTCAAGCAGCAACCTAAAAAGTTAGCAGCTTTACACAAACTGAACGGTCCCCAGCCGACCATACTCTGCTTCAACAGGAGCTCAAGGCAGAGCAATATGCACACGCCACAAGAATTACAAGACTTCTTTGCGCAGGTCCGCGCGCTTTCATGGCTCGGCCAACAAATGAACCAGACCTTCGGCCACTCAGCCTCCGACGTCAGCGAATAGCCAGCGGCTTCTCCAACATCACCACGACGGACCTGGGTCAAGAGACTCAGAACCTCTCTCGTGTTTGGCAAACTCTAGGGCTGCGACATGCAGTGCCATGTGCTTCACATCGCTGGGGCCTCCATAGCCACAACCAGCCTCACTGACATGGCTTCCTGTGCTGGGCGCTCGGCGAACGTTCAATGGTCCCAACCCAGGCCTCGCGGCGTATGGGCAAGACCTGAGCTGCGGCTTTCTCGAGCAATCCTTAGGGGCGTGCCCTGCCTCGCCTTGCTTGGGGACGCGAAACTTCGCACGGAGGAGAACAACCGACGAATCTCCTGGGACCGGGACACGGACGTGAAAGAAACGTGCCCGGCTTGTGTGCAAGCAGGTCTTGTGGATGTGTCGGCACTCGGTGCCCCGGCTGGACGCTCTCGGAGATTGCCCTCCTGCACAAAAGCTCCATCACTACATCGGAAACGAACTTCTCCCAGAATTGCAGGGCACCCCCCCTTCCATTCATAATGATGAGTCAATGATGATCCACTGATGAGTCAACAGGAAAGCCTTCTTCAGCATTTGCCACGGAGGTCCCTCCAGCGTGCCTGCCGGCTACGAGAGTATGCCAAGCTCATCTCACGGCCGCAAGTCTGACGCAAACTTCGATGGCGGCCTTGGAAGTATAAGCCTCGCCGCAACACGAAATCGACGCACGCGGAAGGTGCCCTCCATCGCTTTTTTCTCTTAGGTCGAGGCATCGAAACTCCGACTTCAGCGATGGCGCCGTTCCCGGCCTGCAGCTCATCGCATTGCTGTGACAGGAGTTTTGCTATGGGGCGCCAAAGCAAGAGAAGACTCGAGAAGTACCAGTAGCTAGAGTAGAATCCTCTGGAACATGTCCGACACTCAACAGCTTCTCTTCCGCTTGGTACAGCACTGCCGTTCGGCAATCTGTCTCCACGGCCTATCTATGGGCACGTTTTTAACGTGGCTACCTGGTCAGAACTGCCCTGATGTGTGGAAAAAGAGCGAGGCCTTTTGACCAGTATGCAGTCTGCATTAAATGGTCTGCATAGGTGCAACATGTACTGATCACCTTCCCGCCTGCACACTAACAAGAAAATCCATTGCCCAGTTAGTCGGTGTCTATGCGAATACATCCAGGACACAGTGCACACATATGCACATCATGCCACAGAGAGCGTGCTTTGAGCACTTGGGCCTTCGGCGTAGCCCTCCACCTGCCCTCCATCCTGAACTTGCTTCGCAAGCTGGAGAGGGCATACCAAATTCCAAGCCTCCACTCCTGCTGCTCTAAGACAACAACCCTAGCACTCAACCCAATAACGCTTTAAGGTTCGCCAATCTGCTGGGATCAACCCTCTGCTTTGTCGACTTCTGGTTCCTCGTCTTTCAGCTCGGCTTCTTCGCACCACTCTTCGAAGACCCTGAACCTGAGGCTCCGCGATACATCCAGATCACCAAACCTGGCGCAGACAAAAAAGCAGATTGGTCCTCGACTCGAAGCTTAGCTCGATTGAGGCCCGGCGAGCGGTGATAGTCTTCGCAAGCAGCAAACAGTTCTTCTTCAGCCGGGGAGCCCGTCAACTGAGATGATATTCAACTTAGGTGTCAGGATGACCAGCGCGGGATCCTAGGTCGCGCAAGGCCGCAAGTGCTTTGGTGTCCGTGCTCCTGGAGAATGGGTCTGCGGCTGTTCGGTTTTCGAACAGTGTGTGGAAGCGCCTCCACAGGTAGTCCCGTTCCTGAGCCAAACTGCGCAGACATCAACCCCAATCCAGATGCAACCTGGTCAGGTGCCGGGGTGCCCAGGGGCAGTCAAAGGGCATCACCATCCATGGGGCAGGAGGCGCAGGTCGACCGACCGTCCGTGTGAAGCACTCCTCATTGCAGCCACAACCCACGTGCTCACTAGCAGCTTTCAGAATCTTGCAGACAATGGCTTCCAAGATCTTCCAAGCAGCCCAGTCAGTGTCGAAGCTGCAGAGCGCCACTTCAAACTTCTGGCTGGGCTTGCTTAGGATGTCCGGGTCGCGCAGGTCAAGATACAGCCTTCATGGGGGCAATGCAACAAATTCTTTGGGACCCGAAGAGCATCGTGGATTCATCGGCGCGTCGATCAGTTAGGTGCCCGTACGAGGCCACACGCTGCAGGAGCTCCTATGCAAAAAGATGTATACTTCCTGTTTCTTGGCTTTGCATTGCATCGCTTCCCGGAATCCCCGGCTCCCTGTTCCACTGCAGGAGCGTGGGAGGGTAGAGCTGCTTGTCCTCGGCTCAGACAGGAACAAACTTGTGCTGTGCTAGGTTGGGGTGGTGGCGACAAGCAAAGCCCAGAGGCAATAGTGCTGGAGGTCATGAAGATGATGCCGAGGATGTCCGCGTCGCCCTAGGGGTGTCTCAGCTCAAAGTATCGCTGTTCGTACCCGACGCGACGGCAGGCAGTCTGTGGCTAAAGCGACGAGAAGCAAGGGCATCCATTGTAGAAATCGGAAATTCACGGTAAGCGGTACCTTTCAGCAGGTCTTCGCCAAAGAGGCCGATCAATCCTGCACAATATTGCACATCTCTGCACGCAGCCCAGATCGGGAAAATTGCCTGCCTTCGTGATCACTCGGAGGAGTCGCAGCAACTTGCTTTACGAGCTTGTGCCCTTCTTTATCGTTTCTCAGAAGCTGACTCACGATCCTGAGCTCGTTCGAGCCATCTTGCCCAGACGCTCTCACTCCAACTGCTTCCAAGTAGCTCCTCGTAGTTTAGTCGCCCTCACCAAGAGCTGGATAAACACACACCGTAATCAACAGGCTGCAACGCAAGAGCCAGTATAGCTGCTGACAACCGGACCACCAAATGCTGAAAATTGAGATCCGCCAAGTCGCGATCACGGTCCCCTTAGCTGACTGAAAGTCGTGCAGACTCTGCACAACTAACTTCTCCATAAAAACAGACGAAAATCTGCCATTTGGCGAAGCCGCCATCGAATCTGACAAAGATGTCTTCCATCGCTTTTCGAGTCCAGCCGGAAGGCTCGAGCCTTTCCATCATGCGACCTGTGCAGTGCTCCATGTGCATGATTATGGTGGACATGAAACTGCTGGCTCACGAATGGCCACACTCATGCACTATGCCGGAATGCGGACACACGACTGCAGTTAGATGAGCCATGTTGCTCCATTCCTCCTTGTCGATGAAGCCATCAGCATTTCGATCCATCCGATAGAATGCCTTCCGCACACACAGGGGCCTACGGTACCCGATGCTGAGAGGCTCGGCGCCTGTCGGAGGAGGTCGATCGCCTCGTGGCGGTCGATCTGATCGTACCACTTCTCGAGCATTTGTTCGGCCTTCCTCGGCGGACTTCGACTTTTCTTCTCTTCCATGGAAATTCACAGCTGCAGCCCAGTTCACTCCAGCAGGGCTTCCTCCACCTCCCACTTGCGCGCTTGCTCCATCCTCAGTGCGGCATCTTCCAACACAAGCTGGCAGTGTCTGGTGGCTGGAATGTTGCCCAAATGGGACTGGGAGAAGCGCAGGCCAATCAGTCGTTCTGCATCGGATCGACGAGCATGACTCGGCAAGGGCAAGCAGCCCCGCTGCAATGCCTGGCGGCAGCGCAGGTGCAGACCAGTCTTAGCCAGCTGTCGGCGATGGCATCGGTCTGGAACATCAACGAGCTCTGCGACATCTGTTGTCACAAGGCATCGCGACATGGCCTTAGCCGCCCTTTCCTTGATCTCATGAGGCTCCAGAGGCAGTCGGCCCATCACCCTTTAAGTAAAGCTTGGATGCCGACACGTGATGACAAAGCTGCCCTGCTCTAAATAATGTACCATGACTCAGGTCACAGTCGGTTGCGGCTACTTTGCAGGTGGTTGAATTTGTGTGAACAAGCCTGGAACAAAAGAAGCTACGATGCAACGTGTCTCTTCAGCGTTGTCTTTGACTTGCCTCTGCCGGACTGCGACGAGGTGTATACAGGCATGCGATTCATGGAATTCGGGAGCTGACTCAGAAGATAGCTCCACGGTTTCCTGCGTACAGCTCATCGCAGAAGCGACCGGTAATGTTTGTCAATGTCTTTCACATGCTTCCATGGCCTCCGCACCCCAAAGAAGCAAACGACCTTCCGGCACCTGCGGAGGCCGGAATCACAAACTAAAGAGACTCAGACGTGACCATCTCCCTAACTGCTCTCTCCCACAGCTCGGACCTAGCAGCGAGGCCCTTTGCTTTTCAAGCTTGCTTAAACTGCATATACCCAATCGAACGTGTTGACTCCTCCTTCTGCAACTCCGCGCCAGTTGTTGTTCTTGGGATGACTTGGGTTCACTATCGCGCTTGCCGATGCAATTTTTTGGTACGACGCCAGCTTTCAGAGCGCTACCTGCACTCAAGAAAAGGAAAAAAGACTGGCTCCTTCTGAGCCATCGGAGTCACCGCGTCTTGTCTCCCAACGAACGACTGAACCGGAAGGATGTGAGGGGCAAATCACTGCAATGCCGCGGTGCTCAAAGGTCAAGGCCGTGGGCCAAGGCAACGACAGAAACACGGAAGCCATGCATACGTGTTGCTTCTTGTAGACCCTGCCTCACTCTGGGCCAGGAAGTCTCTCTGCAAATCGAAGTGCCAACAACGCAGCGGATACCTCCCATTGAGCCATGCCATGAGAGCGCGGCAGCTCGTAGCATTGCCATGCTTGCTCTGACGCTCTGACTCGGGATTCGATGGATCCGGTCGACCATCGGCCGGGCTCTCATGACACCACACGGGCCGCCTCCGAGCTCCGGAAAAGCTGACCTCGACGAGCAGCCGAGCCGACAACCCGAGGCCGAGGCTCAAAGCCTCGCGGATGCCTCGGCTTCAGAGGCGACTACACTTTACACTTGAAGACTTAAGACCGTTAAGATTCTACACCTTGTGAGACATGCGAGCCTTTCATTGTCACAGCTTTGCGAAGTTCTGGTCGAGTTGCAGAAGACCCCCCGCCGGTGGCAACGACAGCAACGCAGCATGAAAGCCGATGACCAGCAAGGCAGCGACTAATTCCAGTGCTTTCCTCCGACCGCAGGATGTGCACTGGATATGCCAATATGTGCTATGCTATGCACTTGGCACATGGTCGAAAGCCAAGCAGCTTGAAGCGGGCCCCGATTCCATCCTGGCGAAGGGTGCAACATTCGGCGCGATCCTGCCCTCAAGTGTTGAGACGTGCACAGCTACTTTAGCATTCAAGACATCCCCCAGCGGTTCTAGCACACAGTCTGGCAGCAAAGGGTTTGAGTCACTCAAACTTACTCCAATGACTTCTGAATCTTCCCTTGGAGGGCTTGTGGCAACGGAGCTGAAGTGAACAAACTCACTTCGAAAACTCCCGCCTCCATCTCATCTGCATGAAGCAAGAGGACCTGGTTGCATGAAAAGCGGCTGCAAGGCCTACACAAGAGAAGCACCAGAGCCCATAGAAGCCCCCACCCTGCTGGAAGCGCCGCGGATACGTGCACGCAGCTGCTCGAGCTGCTCCCGTGTTTGGGGGAACGTCGCCGCCTGTGTGGTGGCAGTAGCACTAGCAGTCGCGCAAGCAAGCCGAAAGTCGTACATTGTTGAACCCAGACTCAAATCCTGCATCAGCTGGGAAGCGGCAACCAACACGACTACTGCCGACTTTCGTACATAGTCGTGGTAGTGGCTGTGGTCGTCGTCGTAGAAAAATAGTAGTAGTAGTAGTAGTAGTAGTTGTTGTTGTTGTTGTAGTTGTTGTTGTAGTGGTGGTAGTAGTAGCAGCAGTAGTAGCAGTAGTAGAAATAGTAGCA